TTTTTTTTTTTTTTTTTGATTATAATAATACATAAATTGAAGCAGTGTTATATTCATTGATACATTATTATATTGTTAATATTAATTATTATCAATTGATATATGTGTAAATTTATGCTTTTACGTACTTTTAAAGGATATCTATCTATCATTCTATCTACTTATAATTTGATATAGAAAAAACTTCCGTTTTACATTCCTATCAGGGATTTATATTTCCATATTTAAATATAAACTTAGCCCATTATATATGTATTTAAGAAAAAATCTATATCTGATTTTCTGCTAGCTGATTTTCTGCTAGCTGTTAGAACTAATAAAATGAATTAGAAATCTTACAAATATATAAAACTGATTTTTAAGCTTTTATTAATGTTATTTATCATATATTGTACAATGTGACATATATATACATGTATGTCATATACTGCCATATGTCATCTATGTATTAATATATCTTTCATATCCATTGTGAAACTATTTTTGTAGACTGCAAACTTGGTATCTGAAAATATTTTAAAATGTAAACTATAAAAAAAATCAATCGAAGCCCCGATTCTTAAATAATGCAACCATATATGATTTAGACTATTTAACATTCGATCTAAGCCTGAATGTCAATATATAATTTCCGCTGGTAAATTACCCCTATATCAAATCGCACTTGCCTTGACTTTAACTGCAATTAAATATTTGCTTGCTGAATGCGAACAGATCGTAGAGCAAACTTGGCCCATTACACAGTTACCTAACTCAATTGTTAATTGAAATGAACGAGTGCGAGTATCTGTGTGAGAATTACAGACAGATACGAAGAGATAGACAGAGAAAGGGAGAGAGAGAGAGAGTGGAATAGTAAGAGCACTGAGGGCATTCAGAGTATCTCCAGCACCAAATTGTCTGGCAAACTGAGAGCGCGCGGGGCAGCCTGTCAAAATACATAAACAATAACAAAAGATTTTCCCTCACACAGCACACAGCAACACTTTTTCATCTTTCTTGCGGCGCTGCGTGAAAAGTCGACCGCGAAAATCGCAGCGCGTGAAATTGTAAACAAACGTGTGTCGCCCCCGCCCCGGACAGCCCCGGACAGAGGCAGCCGGCACCCGCGGCTAATGCCGACAAACTCCCACAATAACTCATAATACCGAATACCTAATTCTAATACAGATACAAATACAGATGCAGATACAGCTACAGTTGGAAATAGAGGCGCTGGCTATAGATACAGAGGATGGAGATCTAGCTGGTCGAGCTACTGCTGCTGTGAATCTCGCACCTCTCGCTCCGTTTATATTTAAATTCTCCAAATTTCATGAAAAATTGTTACGTCTCGCACGGCCTGCTGCCAGATACTGTGCACTCTATATTCTATATTCTATAGATACACCACAATACGAAAATTGTGAGACGAAAAATTGTTGAGCGATTTCTCATCATGTCAATGACGCGCACAGCGCACACCGATTTTTCTTTAGCACCCGAAGCCAACTAACCTCCCCCCCCGCTCGAATTGCATCAGGCATCATCAAAATTTATTGACTGCAGTTCAAAAATCCGGCCAGTAATATTAGATATATAGTCGAGCTCTATGGCTCTGCTTATTAATCAATTAGCGAATATCTTTAACCTTTATGCTTAACATAAATCAAATATTCGACTGCAGTTGAAGGCAGACACGGCCTGAAAGAGTGAGGGAGGAGAGGGGGAGAGAGGGGGAGAGAGAGAGAGAGAGAGAGAGAGGTGGGGAGAGCTAGCCTCGACTTGTAGTTCGCTTTGCTTAAAATCAATTGGCAAGTTTCTATAATTCCTATAAACTTTTATTAATATCCGTGAAGGAGCTGTCATCGATCAAACGCTTCATTGCGCTCTTTAGCCAGCGCGGTTCATAGCTGATTGCAGCCAGTTGGCAGGCCTGGCTAATTGCAGTTGATGTGCAGCTAGAAACCTGTATTATCTAAATATAGATTTAGTATATAGCGGATTATAGAATTCTAGCCTATTCTAGCCTAGCCTGAAGTGGGATACTCTAGTTATGTAGTCCTCGCATTGGCCAAGTTATTCAGTCTTATGTATCAATAATGGCTCAATATACAAATTGGCAACAATAATTGCCAGTTGGCAGCTGAAAACTTGACAAGACCAAATCACAACATGTCAGCCAATTAAAGAGTAGTTGAAAGGAGCTCTGGCCCCTGCTATGCATTTGCATTCAAACAACAACAACAACAACAACAATTGTGTATACATATTGATTAAGCAGGAAAAACGTTTTTGCGATTTTCCATTTGTATAAAAACTCGTTTCATGCCGATTCCAAGTCCAATCAATGGGGCATATTGTTATTATTATTTATGTATCTGTAACTCATGGCAGCCAATGTCGACACAACAACAACAACAACAACAACAACAACAACAATGATAACTGGAGAACAAGTGCAAAAAGTAATTATAGTGCAGCACAGCTAAGCAAATTGGCCAAGATGCGTATTACTCGTATCTGGTAATTGAAGAGCATGAATGAAGCCAGCGAAATGCAGACACGGGCTGCCAATTTTAGCATCTACTCAAAGAAATTTGCATACGATCTTGAGCAGACATATACATATACACGCACATATACATACATATGTATATATGCAGCTAATTTATGTATCTGTTTTTATGCATCGATGAGGTTTAATTGCATTCTATCCATCTGCTGTGAAGCGCACTCGTCTATATTCACGATGCATGCATGAATAAGTATGAGTGTGTATGAGTATGTGTGAGTGTTCGTGCGAGTATTCATGAATAGACACGTTGCCACTGGTAATTAGTCCAACCCTCTGCCGCAGAATTAAAGCCATGTTTGCTCTTCGAATGGATGGCGTTTATGTGAGTGTGTAGAGCGAGTTATGTTTATTTATGCTCAAGTGAGGAACAAAAACACAAGTGAAATTGTAAATTAACTAAAGCAAATTGTTTATTTTTATACACCAGCAATTATCATAAATAGAAGAATAATTGCGAGTGCTGAAGGAGAATTGTCTAGCTTCATATTTAATTGATATTAATTGCATAAACAATTTTGATTTACTTTTATTTGCATCTTCTGGGGCGACACGCAGGTAGAAAATATAAATACCTCAAGCTTCTTTCGTTAATTTAATTTTATTTTAAATACCCATTTAAATAACAAGTCTTGTACTTTAATCAAGAATTAATTATATAATTAATTATATAAAATATAAGCCAAGGCAGCAAAGAATTTTGCTCTGAATTGATATATTGGACTATGTTGACATAACTTTTTATGTTAAATTTAAAATTGTTTTGAAGTGATTTTAAGATTGTTTCTTGTTTCTCCTAACAGAGACAGAATAAAGTTTATTTATTTATTTATTTTTTTTTCATCAAATATCTAATTTTACTTCAAGTTTTAATAAACAAGCTCATAAGCCATATAATCGCTCTCAATGGGTGCTCTATATATTTAGGTATATTATTATATTTTAACGAGCAAAGTCAATAACCTTTGCTCACATCAGCCCCACCCATGCTCTGGCTAACAATTAAAAATCGGTTGTTTTTTATGTTTCTTATCGCGCTATAGTTGTTTCTGTTGTTTCTCTCTCTCTCTCGTGTACAACTTAATTTTCGATGGTAAATGTCTTAATTAAATGCCAATGCGCTGGCCTGCACATATTGCAATTTGAGTGGTTACATTAAACCCCCCAATTGAGCCCACTTGGAGAAGAATTAGCAGGGGCAATGGCAGAGGGAGGGGGAGAAATGAAAACTGAACTGGTATTAGAGAAATGCTACTACAATGGACCCAGGTGCCAAGCAGAACACATACTGTAGAGCAGCTCAGCTACTGCATGTTGAGGCGCTGATTAAAATCCAACAGCAGCAGCAGCAGCAGAAGCAGCGGCAGCAGCAGTGAACAACAACAGCAACGACAATTACAACAACAGCATGTTAACAATTATGCAAATTTGTGTGCATGTTGAAGGTGCAACAACARCAACAGTAACAACTGAAACAAGAGCTACAACTACAACAACTACAACAACGTTGATGGCATATAATCACGTCAAGCCTTTTTTATATTCATATTAAAATAAAGTTAAACGCCATCTTCGAGTCGCGCCTCAATTAGGCGCTGCACGCGGAGAGATCGTCAGGCGAGAACGAGGGAATTCTACGAAACACCTTTATTATACAACAAGAGAGACAGAGCCAGAGATAGACAGAGAGAGAGAGAGAGAGAGAGAGAGAGGCAGAGGCTGAGTACACCAAGTTCCACTTTGCATTTTGCATCTAGTTAAAAATGGCTTGACTGCAATGAGCTCATAATGGCGCCGCGTAATAGCCGAAGATGCGCAGCCAAAGCAATAGATATAGGCAAACAAAGATACAGATTTATATATCATATCGTACATATCGCTTGGCAGCTTGTGAAGTTGTTGTCTAATTGACAAGACCAAAGCTGGCGACGTTCCAAGCGATTTCGTAGCAGCAGATCATCAAAGGTCTTTGCGCTTCATCGTTCGCCCACGAATCGAGAGCTAAACGCATCTATGAGATGCAAATGCAGGCATACCTGCCCGCACACAGAAATGTCAAATGCTTATTAGTTGCAACAGGCTGCACCCCGCTCGCCCCCATCCCCCCTCGCGATTGCTACCACAAATTGTCAATTTAATAAATTTGTGAAGCGCGTCACCAAATGCTGGCGGTCCGCGGGCTGCACCCTAATTAGTGGGGCTTTATTCAGACGAATTTCGATAGCCAAAAACAAAAATGAAGGCAAGCATCTGGGCTAACCCAGCGCGAGGGTCTGCCAACGCAAGCTGCAGCACCGCAAATAAATGAAAA